CATTGCCACATTCCTGTTGGGCGTAATATTAATTGCTCCACTTTGCCATATATATTTTCTAATTCACTTTTTAATTCATTATGTTTCACACCAATAGAGATGTCCCATAATTTAATTTCCATTTTCCTTTCATTCAAAGTATTATTTTTATATGATTGTGCTCTATGTATATAGGTGGGCAATTGCGCATCTGTACCTACATTTACTTCCAGTACGGCTTGCATATTTTCTTTGTTGTCAAACAATACAAAGATCATTTTATATTTTCTATTGTTCTCTACTCTGACTAGGGTTAATTCAGTTTTTGTTCTAATGGCTTTTTTTACAAATTCAATTTTTTCGCCCGTCGATTTTCCAGGAATTTTTTCAGCATGAGTTCAAATTTTAAATTTTTTTGCATTGAAATCTTGTCTCTAGTCAGAATGAAAACTATTATCAGTCTTATATGATACTACTGATTCTTTATCTTCTTCTATTACTTCAGGATCTATTGCTGTATTGTCTATGTTTTTTGCCTTTTTCTTTTTGTTTGTTACTTCAGTCCATTCGTTCCCATTATTTTCTTCGATATCAATTGTCAATTCTTCAATGTCAATTTGTTTTCCTTTACCTTTATCGTTGTCATTATTAATTATTACTTCGGGTTGCTCTATCGTGACCATAATTTCCATATCTTTGATATCACTGTTGTTTTTAATGTTACTTTTTATGTTTGTTGGTTCTTTTGAAATAAATAGTGTTACTGTTTTATCTACTTTTTTAATGGGATTGTTTCTTTAGTTTTTTAGTTGTGTTTGTATATTTAATTGTGAAGCCAACTGGATTCTTGTTGACCTCCTTGGGGGCCACTGGTTGAGCTATCGCTCATTATGCCAGGTTTCTGAACTTTTTAATTAAAGAGAAATAAAAATAAAACAATTTTAATATAATATTACTGCGTATTTTGTATTACAAAATAATTCAGGAAAGAGTTCATCCATTCCCTTATAAATTTATATTTTTCGAATATAAATTCTAATCTATAAATTTCTGTTACTATTTTATAAACCATTAATAAATATATTTAATTCTTTGTCTTAATTTCTTAACTCGACCTTAAAAATTAAATTATTAGTCAATAGTTTAAATCCTGTGATCCTAAATCTTAAGTCTTTTAGTTAGTTTTTAGTATTTAACTTAGTATATCTTTTATTCTTCTTCTATTATTCTCTTCAATTCGTAAACTAAAGCAACTGTTTACGAGTTGCTAGTTGTAAATTGTTTTTTGAAAAATAAAATTAGCCCAAAAGGTCGACTAGTAATAGCGTCTTCGTCGTTGTCACTAAGAGGTATAATAAATTGCTAGAGTTCAGTGAGTTGTGATGAAGTTCTACTGCTTTCAGCAAAAGTTTCTCCTTGTGGGTAGGTTATTTGTGGAAGGTTTCAGACGGGAGTTCGAGTAGTAGAAAAATAAGTTAGGGTTGAAGGTTCTTTGTATGGTTGCTGCGGTTGCTGCGGTTCATGACGATGTGATAATCGGGGTTGGGTTTCAGGAGTTTTCTCACTATAATTTTCTTCAGGAAAAATATGTGCAGGGTTATACTTTTCTTTCTCGTTATAATTAAAAGCCTGGGTGGTTTCTTGAGTAGATGTAAATTCGAATGGGGTTGAGATTTCTAATGGGGTAATTGTGATGATATAGCTAATCTCAATTGAACTTTTTGTAATTGTCTCTGGACAAGTTCTTAAGTGACCTGAGCACGAACTTGGTTTAATTCTTCCTCTAAAAGTCAGGTTAAGTCAAGGAAATGGCAATAAGACTTAAAATCTTAGGGATTAGGATCTCCTTCAGATGAAGCTTCTTATAGGTAACGTTCGTACCGGCTTCTTTATAGGCGTAATTTAGCTTCAGCAAAAAGTTGGTCAGACTCAGAGTTTTCAGAGGTTGTGTCTTTGTCTGAGGTAGGTTGGTTATCTTCTGGGTTATTGTTATTATTATCACTAAAGTTAAAGAATCTAAACATAAGCTAGCTATACGTGTTGCCCAAATCCCAAATCATTTGGGATTTGGGATGCCAAAATCCCAAATTACTAGTATTTGGGATT